GGCTTACAAATGCTTTTCATTCTTTCTTTGGATGTTGTTCCGTTAATAGAGATCTACATTGTTTTTATTTTGGTATGTCATGTTCATAGTCCTTTTCTATGTAGTTGTTTTATAATGACCATCTTTGAAAAAATTCAATCCCTCGCATGGCATTAAAAAAGAGGACCTTTTTTCTTGGTATATTTTCTGTATTATGCATGGAGAAATTCACTCATTTAATCACAAAACAAATAGATATTATAAAATGGAATCATGTTGGGTTAGAAAAGATAGCCTTGCATTTCACATTTTCTTTTCATTGGTGATTAAATACCCTATGGAGTTCTCTATGAAATCATATAAATGTTATTTTGGGGTGCTTAAAGAAGTTTTGTGCCATATTTGGTAAAAAAAAATTGTTATTTTCAAAACCAAAATGTACTTCTTCAAAAACACTTATAAACAGGTATCTAATGCAATCAACAATGAAGATGGTTTTATATTGATATCTGACCTCAAAAGATATTATTAAGAGAGTTCAGAGCATTTTGTCAGCTTGGAAAAATCAAAAAAAATTCTACAGCTGAAAGAGTCGCTTTATCTTATTGTTGAAATGGTGATGTCTAATGGAGAGATTATCTCAATGGCTCCCTGATAATAGTGTTCGAGTCATTTTATTAACTTGTCTTTCATGTTGAATAATGGTTCTGATTTTATTATATAGAGCCATGGATTAAATGGTAAATTCTGATTTTATATTTTTTTGATATCCTGTAAAAAACATAATTGTGAATCAAGAAGTTAATACTTACATATAAGAAAATATAAGAAAAATCATATATGTTAATAAAAAACATGTAAGATCTTAATAATATTTAATATAGTAAAAGAATGGATCAATGTTGTAATTGTTATCTTGAAACACCGTTTTTTTAGTCATTGTATAATAATTTAAAAAAAAATTAAAGAAACAAATTACAAAAAAATAAAAAGAAGAACAATACAAAAGATATAAATAAACCAAAAATTGTATAGATAAGTCAAGTGTAGAGTAATAAATGTTTAAAGTGTAAATAATAAAAAATAATATAAAAAATAAAGATAAAACTAAAAAAAATATAAAAAATAAAGATAAAAAATAGTGATAAATAGACTAAATGTAAAATGATAAAAAAAAATATCTAATGTTAAGAGAAAAATATATAAGAAAAAATTGTTTTGCTAAAAAAAGTTTAAAAATACAATTTTGCCACTATTAGAAAAAAATAGAAAAATTTATAATTATATTATTTTTATAAAGCTTTTAATAGCATGTTTAATATTGCAGTTAAAATACTATTTGTTAATAAAAAAAAGTTTGTTTAAAATTATTTTTTTAGTGATTTTTTATTATGTTGATATAAAAAATAAATATTAATAAAAAAAATATTTTAATATATTTTTAAATAAAAATATATTAAAAAATAATTACCATACAAAATTAAAATTATTGAAAACCAAAATAGAATAAGATAAGACTTACTTGGCTCAATCTTATTCCAATTAGTGTCATAATAGAGTTGCTTTTGTTTGTAGTCATGAATTAAATATGTTGTAATTGATAGAGTTACTTTGTCATTACTTCACAACAATTTGGACTTTCATGGTTAAATGACAAGTTTCCTTATTAAACAAAACTAAATAACTTTGTTCAGGAGTAATATTACAAAATTGAATAGGGGTAGGTTAGTTTTTTTCTTTCTTTTTAACATTAACATAGTATAATGACTTAAATACTAGAAAAATTTATAATTATATTATTTTTATAAAGCTTTTAATAGCATGTTTAATATTGCAGTTAAAATACTATTTGTTAATAAAAAAAAGTTTGTTTAAAATTATTTTTTTAGTGATTTTTTATTATGTTGATATAAAAAATAAATATTAATAAAAAAAATATTTTAATATATTTTTAAATAAAAATATATTAAAAAATAATTACCATACAAAATTAAAATTATTGAAAACCAAAATAGAATAAGATAAGACTTACTTGGCTCAATCTTATTCCAATTAGTGTTATAATAGAGTTGCTTTTGTTTGTAGTCATGAATTAAATATGTTGTAATTGATAGAGTTACTTTGTCATTACTTCACAACAATTTAGACTTTCATGGTTAAATGACAAGTTTCCTTATTAAACAAACTAAATAACTTTGTCCAGGAGTAATATTACAAAATTGAATAGGGGTAGGTTAGTTTTTTTCTTTCTTTTTAACATTAACATAGTATAATGACTTAAATACTTTTAAGAGTAGAGTTTAATCAACTTTTATGTAGAGATATTTTTGAGTTTTTAATTTTGAAAAACAGTAAAATATTTAAAATACTCTTCAACACAAAAATCCTATAATGTTACATATAGGTTTTATTGTCTTTCACTCCTTTTTTGTTTTTTTTTTGTTTTTTTTATTATTATCAAGTTTGATGAAGTTTAGTTTGGTCTTTTAGTAAATACAAAAAAACAATGAAAAGTTGCATGAGGCAATGAATAGAAGAAACTTGCACTATTTTAACAGAGTGTGTAGGCTTTTCCAATGGTTAAAAGCCACCTTCCATGCCATAGTTAGAAATGGCTTACCATAGTCTTTCCAATCTACTGTCAAAAGGAGGTGACAAATTATCAATATTGTTACAATGAATCCTTTTCTTCTCCTTTATTTTTTTTCTTTCTTCTCATTGGGAAAATATAAGAGATTCCTTTCTTTGATTTTTGTATTCAATTTGATTTTTATTGTTATTTATTTTGTAGTTAATGCTTATTAAAGTTTATTTTTATTCAATTTAATCTCTGGGTATTTTATTTTATTTAGTTTTTTATTTAATTTAGTTCTTATTCTTTTGATTACTATCTTTTTTTATTCATTTCTTGATTTAGTTATATTTTTTTATTTTTTCTATCAATATTTTATTTTATTATTTATTTTTTGTCCTTATTCTTTTTATTGTTATTTTTTTTTATCTATTTGTTGATTTATTTATGTTTTTCAACTTTGTCTCTCAAAATTTTATTTTATTTAATTTTTGTATTTAATTTTTTCTTATTCTTTTGACTACTATTGTTTTTACCATTTTCTTGATTTATTTTATTTTTTTCAATCTTGTCTCTCAATTATTATTTGATTTAATCTTTGTATTCAGTTTTGATACTTAATTGCTATTGTTTTATATATTTTTTTTATTTTTAAAATTAATTCATAATTTTTATTTTTCATTTAGTTTTTATATAGATTTAATACTCACTATTTGAAAAACTACTCGTCACTCATCAAATTTGTTATGCCTAAAGTGCTAACTCTAATATTGTGTATACATAGTTTTTATGTCTAACAAACAATCACTCCTCACTCTAATAAATAAAAGGCATATCGTACTATTTATAGAAAAATATAAAAAACCTTATAAATTAGTAAAATATCAATTTGTCCCTTAAATAATATTAATATATTAATTCAGGAGAATTTTAGAAATTAAATCAATCAAGTTCTTATTTGATTTTTTTAGGTTTAGAAATATAATCCATGTATTAATTATAATATAATTCTTAATTTCTAAAATATATTTTAATCAAATCATACTTAGTTAAATCATCTTAGTTTAATTTTTTACTAATAGTTTTTAATGTATGTGACCTATTAAGTTTTTAATGTGTTAACCTAAATATAAATTATAATTATAATTAAATAGAATTACAAATTTTAATTTATTAAATTATAATTCTAATTAAATAGAATTACAAATTTTAATTTATTATTAATTCAAAAATTAATTAATTTATATTTGAAGATTAGGTGCATTGTCTAGCAATTTATATTTGAAGATCAGGTGCATTGTCTAGTAACGTGTCATGATTCCTTAAATATTAGAAAAGTCATTAGTGGTTTAACTTAATCTTTCAATGATCGGTTTATCACAGTAATTAATTTCATTTCATCAATAATGTTATGATTTAACATTAAAGCATATAGTATGTTTGTCATGCTAAATCATGTTTGCTTTTTATATAATAGTCATTGATTGCTTAATTAAGATTTGAAGTCCTTTTCAAATCTCATTCCAATTAGGCCAATGATTTCTTAATTAATACAATTTAAAAATAAATAAAATATTTTTTTAATTTTTACTTAGGGTAATAAATCCTTTCTTGATTACTCACTTACCTTCATATATTTCATGTTACATCAAATGTCTGCCCTTTCATTACCTCAATTAAAATAACATGTAACATGATCAAAACATAACATTATCTATATAACATTATCTATATAAGATAACTTAGTAATCTCAAATCCAAAGATTACTTACACAACTGTTACATGAACATTTTCATAGACATAAATAATCTCTTAATATGAAATTCTTATGCGGGTCAGTCCAGTGTACATATTTTATAACAAGCACCTATATATTAGTTTTAGGTATCCCTTATATCTTAACTTATGAAAACAATTGCTTCCTTCTATAAAGAAAAAATATATAGTATATATTAGTCTTTACAAATCTAATAAATATCTAGTATTTAAGAGAGTATAGACTAAAAATATTTTAAGAATAATATTTGATGCATTAGAAATTCTATAATTATAATAATTTTATAATTTTATTTGTAAAATATTTTTGTTCCGTTAACTTATTTTTACTTTGATTTATTAATTTAATATTATATAAATATTAAATATAAATAAATTTTTTATTAATAATAAATTTTTATTTACATTAATATAATAACATCACGTTAATATAATAACATCACCCGTGTAACCAATCGAGTAGGTACATGTTATATTAACTAACATTAAAATTATTTTTACATTAGAAAATATGTAACCTGGCCCGCGGACCACCCGTCTAGTAAACCGCCTATAATGGCCTCATTCCCCTGTTCCAAGCAGAGCAATACCTGAAACTCATTTGTAGCTGTTGCTAGAGTTCTTCGTTCTCCAGGAGATTTCAAAGAAAAGTAAGAAAAAAAAAGTCAGAAGATGAAGAGCACCAGGCACTCATCTGTTCGATTTTTTCTTTTTGTTGGAGTGGCTATCTTCATTGCGTTTGCCATTATTTCTGTAGAGGCGAGAAAGCATCACAACAACAGACATAAACCTCATAAGCACCTCAAGGACAAGGGTAGCAATGGCCATAAAGCTCCAGATCCAGCTGCAAATATTCCAGTCCCTACTCCAGCCCCTCTTCCTCATTACGGTTCTTACCCTACTAAATCCAACATTTTTGACGTTTTGTCATTCGGAGCCAAGGGTGATGGAGTTTCAGATGATTCAAAGGTACGTGATAGCCAAAGGAACCGTTGAAAGACCATTCTCGTATTGGCACAAATTTCTCCGTATCCTGTCAACTTATTAGCAGAAGCACTTATTAGGCGGATTTTTTTCACAAATTTTATGAGCAGAAGCACTTTTCTTCATATTTCTCATTCCTTAATTTGATTTTTTCCACATTTTCTTCGGATTTAGCAACAAATGGAGCAAGTAATTGCTAGCTAAATTTTCATTTTTGTAATTACTGGAAACTGATCAACTGTGAGCTAAACAGGCACTTTTAGCTGCATGGAAAGCAGCCTGCCAGGTGTCTGGGGCTATAGTGGAAATCCCAGCAGAATTCAAGTTCCTCATCAAGCCCATAATTCTCCAAGGTCCATGCATGCCTCACCTTGTACTTGAGGTTTGCCCTCTTCTTTTTAGCTTATCTGAGTGACTCTTCTCTCAAGTACTAGATATGAATATAGAAATCTAGATGTCATGAGGTATATTCCCTGCAATCTATTTTTAAATCGAAAATGTCTGTCTTGTTTTAGTATTAGTGCAATTCTTTACGGTTTAGTGCTCTACACATAAAGCTGATGTAATGCAAGTGGAATTCCAACAGATAGATGGCATTCTCTTATCTCCCCCGCGAGTTGGTGCTTGGCCTAAATCCAGCTTGTTTCAGTGGATAAACTTCAAATGGGTTCATGACTTCACCATTCAAGGTACTGGAAAAGTTGATGGTCAAGGATCTGAATGGTGGAGTCCCTCTGAAGCCTACTACATTCAGGTTTGTCAATGTAGGGGGTTCTTAATTAACTCCTTCAGTACAGATAAAAGGCATAAAGAAATGAAAGTATAACATTTGTTTTCCTTTGATGTATTCAATGCAGAAGAAATTCAAACATAATCCAGATATGAAACCAACTGTAAGATCATATATTCTTCCAACGTGTTCTTTCACCTTATGATCATAAATTGGAATTAATTCCATCAAGTTATTATAACATAATCAAATTCCTGATCATGTTTTACACAGGCTTTGAGATTCTACGACAGCCATAATATCACAGTTCGCGACATCGAAATCGTGAACAGCCCTCAATGCCATCTCAAATTTGACAGCTCTAGTGGGATCAAAGTCGATAACATTACGATTAATTCACCAGAGATTAGTCCAAATACTGATGGCATTCACCTACAGAACACAAAAGATGTAGAAATTGAGCATTCTAATATTGGATGTGGTAAGAACCTACAAGTGCATTGACCTCTAAGCTCGCCATCATTTAATATTCTTCCATGAAAACTGTGTGCTAGCAAGCTTGTTAATCATAGTGAGTTTTGTTAATCATAGCCGACCTAACAGTAGGACGTGCTCCATATTATAATCTTCTGGTGTAGTTTTTAGTTGGCGATCAGTTGGTGCCTCGCACGCTGGAATTGCAGAGAAAAGTAACACCTTTTGTGAGAAGCAAAAAGGAAATACTAAAAAGTTGCAGATTGCGCACAATTTGGTTCAAAAAACCTTTTTAAACGGCTTAACTTCCCTAAATTAACTAACTTTAGTGACAGGCATGCCTAATAAAAAGGGCCAACATCTATCTATCTATCTATCTATAATTTTCAACTACCATGTGGATGCTAATGAGCTGTAGCCTGTAGCTTAAGTGGATGCCCCAGCATATATTAAGTCTGGTTTGTGAGCAGTCCTGCTAAGGTGATTAAAAACTAGCCTGCACTAATTAGTGAAATCGATGCATAGCTTTGGTTATAGGGTGCTAACTCTGAGCTTTCACTTTATAACAGGGGATGATTGTGTATCCATACAAACCGGCTGCTCTAATATTCATGTCCATCACATTAACTGCGGCCCTGGACATGGAATAAGGTAGAGTCATAAATTACTGTAATGAAAGAAAACGCTGACATTTTCTGAGAAATCCATGGAATACCAACAAAACGGAGTAGTAATACTTAAGTACTGATAAAAAAATTTGCACGATTTCGTGGTTAGAACATTTGCTGCTGTGATTACTTAGAATTATTTTTGGATTTTTTTCATAACTGCAGTGTAGGAGGGCTCGGAAAGGATAAAAGTGTTGCGTGTGTCTCGGATATTGTTGTAGAGAAAATCTCGTTACAAAATACTCTATCTGGAGTTAGAATAAAGACATGGCAGGTACGTAGCTAATTAATTTCAAAGCACAACTCTATATTAGCAAAAAAAGAAGGGAAAGTTATTCAGAATTTTTCTAGTTTTATAGCTAGCGTTCCATTGCTATTTTATCTGTTCTTTTTATCTTGAGACATTAGGCAAAAGCAAATACACTTTTTTTTTTATTCAGTCTCTAAACAAGTCTGTATTTTTCGAAAAATGTTTGCGTATGTATAACTGCAGGGAGGTATTGGATCTGTAAAGAATGTGACATTTTCCAATATTGAAGTATCAGATGTGAAGTATCCTGTTATAATTGATCAGTTCTACTGTGACAAGAAAAGATGCAAGAACCAGACAGACGCTGTGGCAATATCTGGTGTTAAATATGACAGCATAAAAGGGAGTTACTCAGTGCAACCGATTCATCTAGCATGTAGCAATGACGTGCCTTGCACCGGTGTTGATCTAATTGATATTCAGTTGAAACCCAGCTCAAATGGTTATGGAGGTTTTCGACAGGCTTTGTGTTGGAACTCTTATGGGAAATCACAAGCACCCCTAGTCCCTTCAAGCATCGATTATTGCTTGAGAACCGAAAGCGGGTCTGTTAAGGGAACTGCAAGGTCTCATCATGAACATATTTGTTAGCTAAGTATTTATAACAGCGTGTATTAGCTTCTCCTCCTCCTCCTCCTCCTTCTCCACGTGTATTAGCTTCTCCTCCTCCTCCTCCTTCTCCTCTGTTTTCTGTTTAGTCAAAGCTTCCCTTCTGCAAATTTTTTATTTTGGGAAGGTGATGATTTTATGCTGTTGTTTTGAATTAAGTTTAAGGGTTTTTTAATATTTAATAATAATTAGCTAGCAATCACCCACATTCCTCTTGGAGTGTTCTAATTTTTTTTGACAAACCAGATCATGCATGCATTATAAAGCTCCTTAATAAAAATGGTGAAAAATACACTGGAAAGCTGCATCAACATCCTAGGAAAGCAAAGCATAACGGAGGTAACTATCTAGTAGTAGGTGTAGAGTAATAAGAGTTTAAAATCAAAAGATTTGTTTTTTCTATGGTTTCAAGTTCAGACCTTGTGATTGTTAATATTCACCCTCTCTCAGCTTATAAAAAGTAAGAACAATACAAAATATTTATTGTGTTCGGAAGGCATGGGTCATAGTTTCATAACACAAAAGACAGGTACATTAAAGATAAAAATAAAATAGAATTATGTTGAGGGGTGATTTAAAAAATAAAATAATTGTTTTTATATTTGTTTAATTATGATGGAAAAGATATAATAAAATGTAAAGATAAATTATTTTACTCATTGTATTGTTATTAATTATATATATATATATAAACATAATTTTATTATAATAATTCTAGTTATAAAATCATTATTGATTTGATGAGCTAAATTTATCCGAGTTTAAAAAAATAGAGGAATGCTTCCCTTAATTTGACTCGGTCAAAAATCCAAGTTAATCCAATATAAAATACGAGTCAAAAAACTGTTGATTTTTTCAAAAAAAAAAAATTGTCAAGAAAAGTTTGCTTTGATTTTTTATTTTTTTTTTAGTTAGCCGAATTGAACCTTTCAATTTATAACCTAAGGTTTTTCTAGGATTGTCTCTTGAGTCGAGTTTTAAAACTATGAGAATAACTATTTTTATCCATATATTGACTCGAGTTAATCAGTCTTGACCCATAACTTAAGCCAAGTTAAGTTTTAAAATTATGATAATAAATTTTTTTCTTATATTGATCCAAGTTGATCCTCCTGATTTGTGAATTGAGTTTTGCCCTAGTTTAACTCTTAAATTTGGTTTTAAAACTATAATAATAACTATTTTTATTTTATGTTGAATCAAGTTAACCAAGTTTACCATTCAGACACATAATCCAAGCCTTACCCTCGAGTTGATCTTGAGTTGAATATTAAAACTATGGTAATAATCACTTTTGTTCTTATGTTGACCTGGGTCAACAGTCAACCTCACTCGTGGCCCGAGCTTTGCTCTGAATTAATTTTTAAATCGAGTTTTAAAATTATAATAATAACAATTTTTATTTTTATGTTAACTCGACCGGTTACCTAGTTTTTGTTCTAGAATGACCCTAGAGTTAGAATTTAAAACTATAATAATAATAATTTTTTTATATATTATAGTTAAATAATTTTAAAATTTAAATTTTTTTATAAGGATATTTCAAAAATAAAAAATAATAAGTATCGTCTCTAAAGAAATATTCTCTTTGTACATCTTGTTTTAAAAATATAGAAATTCATTCTCTTTGTACATCTTGTTTTAAAAATACAGAAATTCATTTTAAAATTGTTTCAAAGATAAATTTATTTTTATATTTTTATCTCTTCAACCAAAGTTTTTTTAATCACTAATGTCTTCATCATTTCTATTCAGAACAATAAATAAACACTATTTTTAATGTTTGTTTTTGTGTTACAACTTAGTTTTTAAAATATTTTTTAAATTAAATTAATATTTTTTTTTATGATTCAGATATCAAAAATAAAATAAAATAAAAATTATTTAAATATGTTTTTAATAAAAAAACACTTTTAAAAATTATATTACATTAAAATATAAAAAATACATTATATTACAACACCAAACTCAAACAAAGCTGTAATGTTGACATAAAAATGAATGACAATAGAGAATATCATGGCAATGGACGGTGCCCGATCCTTTAAACCATTAAAAAATTATCCTTCAAAGTTCAAACTCACGTCCAAAATATGCCGGGCCCTATACCCATTTATACCCAGCCCATAACCGCTTAAGGAATTAAAAAAAAAAAAGATTACCCGTAACTAATGTTCGTTTTGGTCCCTGTTGCTCTTTTAGAAAATAGTCTGGTCCTTATATTTGATTCCTTACAAATAAGTCATCCATTAAAATATTTTTATCCTCTTAATCTCTTACCAAAATATTGTTAGTCCTTTTGCTATTTTTTTCCTTTAATTAGATCCTTAAATGCAATCTTAGTAAGTGCTTAGCCTGTGAATATGATTGTTGTAAATGCAATCTTAGTAAGTGCTTAGCCTGCTTGTGAATATGATTGTTATTGTTTTTAAAGTGTTTTTTATATCAAAATGTATTAAAATAATAATAATTTTATTTTTAAAAAATTATTTTTAAAATTAGTGTATCAAAATATACAAAATAAAATTAATTTTTAATTAAAAAATTTAATTTTTTGAGAAAATGATTTGAACCTTTATTAATAAATAAAAACAAGTATACAATATGATGAATTTTCACTTTGTTTACGTGTACCCATTTTATCATTCATCATATATGATTGGTATATGTGTGTTTACCTTTAAATACCATGATCTAGAGGGAGAAAGAAAGGGGGAAAATAGTTGAGATAGCTTAAATTTATAATAAAAAATAATTTATGATAATCAGAAACTATGGTGTCGGCTACAAGGCTATGGTCGTGTTTCTACGGTTCTCATTAACGGCTGAAACACATGATAATCATTCTAGAGAAAGAAAAAAAATCTCGACGATTCTTATGGGGATATTATTCTTCACTCGCGCGTGATACTGCTGAAAAAAAATGTATATCACATCCTGTGGCTGAAATATTATTTATTTAAAAAATAATTTTATATGTGATATTAAAAATAAATTTGGAAAAATAAAAAAATATTATTTAAATATAAATATTTTTAATTTTTGTTTTTACAAAACAACCTTATGAAAAACACGCTCCGAAAATTAAAAAAAAAAAAAGAAGTGATAAGTTTCTTGCGTGCTGATAAGTTTCTTGCCCGATTATAAGCCGTTTGATCATGCGTCCATCTTTCACATCAACTTTCCTTCTTTTGTTTTCTAGTTTCTCGGTCCTTTCTTTCGAAAGCCATAGATCTTCAAAGACGCATCTCGGTATCCTTACACTCCCTAGATATTTTCTTTCTGTTCCCCTTGAAAAAAATAAAATAAAATATATATATATATAGCTCAGATATTTAAGGCGTACCCTTTTTTCATTTTTTAAATATATATATATATATAAATATATATCCCCTCCAATAAAATACTAGATATTATCATGAATGCATCCGTAAGGAATGCGGTGTTGAATCTACTATTCATTGGATCCATCAAAGAGTACAAAATGGAGTGCATCTTTAATTTCTACAGTGAAGATTAAATTATTGCCGTTGGTTTGATAAGGCTGCAAATTTACCAAATTGGACACTGCCCCCCAGAAGCGTTTGCTTGATTATCTTTAACCCTTCAAATATTCTGTTCTAAGAATTTAACCCTTTTTTTTTTTAATAAAAAAATATATTTCAACTTTTTTTAATAAAAAAATATATTTCGGATCTTGCCTGAAATAAACTCAAACGTAATTAGCATATCTCCTTTAGCTTTTAGAAAAGGAAAAGGCTAATAGCACTCACTTTAGGGCACTGTTTAGCTTCTGTTATATGTAGTTATTAGTGGATAATGCTATACTAAGGCCTCCGTCAAAATTTAATTTTTTATTTTAAATTATTTTTATAATTTTAAATGGTTTTGATATATTAATATTAGAATAAAAAAATATTATTTTAATATATTAAAAATTATTACCACATAATAATAAACACCTTATAATTATATTACCACCTTATAATTATATTACCGTAAATATATTACTACTATATTTATTATAAAGTGATTAGATAAAATGTTTGGAATTTAAAAGGAAATTGTTTATATATTTATTATAAAGTGGAATTTAAAAGGAAATTGTTTATATATTACCGAATTTAATTATCATTTAAAAACCTATGAATATATAAACTTAGCATAAGTATTTACAATTCATTAAATAAAAATATTTTTCATAATTATGAGATATATGAGAACATGAAACGGTAAATCATGAAAATCGCGGTGTAAACAAGGGACGATCAAGGATTAAAAAAGAAAAAATGAAATATCATAAAGCCACCGGCGGTCACGGACCCCACGCTTCCCTCCCCATTTCACTCGCTATCAGTGTGGCACGTGACAAGCTCCCCTTCCCGAGTTTCCAGCAACGTGGACACATATAAGAAACGGCCACGCCATGTTAACTTGCACGATATGCTCTGCACTGCACTGCACTGAATCAGTGGAAGAATCCAAGCTCCTCCTGCTTCTCTCTTGCCTCCAAAAATTTTCTTGCAAAAAAACACTCTCGATTCTCTCTTCTTGTTCTGACTTAATTCAAGGTAAAGCATTTCTTTTGTTTTGAAGAAAAAGAAATTTGATCAATTTCTGTCACAGAATCCCCGTCTTTATTTTAGAAATCCTGAAAAAGAAGGAAATGTTCTGAATTGTTTGAATCTTGTTAGGCAATTAGTTAGATTACAAGCTAATTCTGATTGAATTCTATTAATTTATCTTAAACAATAAGAATCTGAATCTGTTTTTGTTTTAATTTTTAATTTTCAGGTGAGTTGAGGGGACTCTGGGAATCATCCTTGAAGGTAAAGAAGAGAATCCAATTTGAAGGAATAGTAATAATAATAATTAGAGTATGAGTAATAACAGTACCATAATCGGGCATTATAAAGTATTCAACAACCAGAGTTTGCTTCGTCCAACGGCTTCAGAGCATCGAAGCAGCAAGCTCAATTCTTCAGGCATTCCTGCAAATTCTTTGTTTCAATCTGCACGTAGGCCGTTGTCCAACTTTTATGGAAACAGTTTAAAAGCCAGGAAATCAAAATTAGGCATCGTTGGAGCACGCCGCTCTTTTATATTCACTCCGCGAGCTGTCTTAGCCATGGATCCACCTTCTGAGGTAATTTTTTGTTTTAGAGTTTGTAGACATGGAGATAGCTTTCAATGAAATAAAATGAAATGCCTTTTCTTCCTTTGGTAAGTCAACTGAATAACAAACTCTTTCGTTGCAGCAGCTTGCAGGGAAATTCAATCTGGATGGAAATATTGAAATGCAGGTATTTATAATCAACAAGGGATGAGTGAGCATAGCTTTAATTACTGGAGCCAAGTTTTGGTGCGTTTGTTGGTTATTGTAGATGTGATATGGATATTTTTTTGGGTAATGAGCAGGTTTTTGTCAGCAAATCCTCTGGTTCATCCATCGCACAAGTAAATATTCAGATCAATTATAGTAGTGACTCTTTGCTTCTACACTGGGGTGTAATACGTGATAGAAAGGAGTAAGTCTGCCTGTACTTGCTTTCGGCTATATTGACTTAATTCTCCGTTGTCGTTCTAGTTTTGGTTATTTCTCTTTCTTATGTTGGTTTTCTTTTGTGTCAGAAAATGGGTGCTTCCTTCTCTTCAGCCAGATGGAACCAAAAATTATAAGAACAGAGCCCTCAGATCTCCTTTTATGGAGGTAAGAGCGAAAACGCAAAAACAAGATTCTTTGCCTTTCATTTTACTGAAAAATGTTTGGCTGACCTAAATAATTAATTTTTGCTGGTTTGTACTTTGTTTATGTCCTAGTCTGGTTCCAATTCTTGCATCAACATAGCGATTGATGATCCTGCGATACAAGCTATAGAGTTTCTTATAGTTGATGAAGCCCAGAATAAATGGTGAGCTTCAAAAGTCAACTTTTGCTAGCTCCCTGTATGTTGTTTGAGCTCATTACAATGTGTGATATTATTTCTTTTCGTTTACTTCTCTTAATTTGGCAGGTTTAAGAACAATGGCCAGAACTTTTATGTTGAGTTACCCATGAGAGAGAAGTTGACCATTCCTAATGTCTCGGTTCCTGAAGAACTTGTGCAGATTCAAGCATATCTAAGGTGGGAAAGAAATGGGAAACAAATGTATACCCCTGAGCAAGAGAAGGCAAGTGTTAAACATCGTTTAGTATAAAGAGACAAACTATTTGTACTACTAAGTTATAGTACTTTAAATTTGCATCTGTGCTTTCCTGTCTAGTTTTTCTTTTGTTAGCAAGGAAGCACCTGTGTCATGGTTTTTTTCTTTGTACATGCAGTTCTTCATAACTTCCTTTGATTTGCAGATAGTTTAATTCTATGGTTTTGATGTTTCAAGCACTGTCTTACTTTGATGGATAAATTTTCTTGTCTAGGAGGAATATGAAGCTGCTCGCTTTGAGCTATTGGAGAAAGTAGCCAGAGGCACTTCCATTGAGGATCTCCGTGCAATGCTGACAAACAAAAATGATATACGTGAAATTAAGGAGCCATCTGTCTCTCAAATAGAAAACAACCTACCTGATGATCTTGTGCAAGTACAAGCTTATATGAGATGGGAAAAGGCAGGGAAACCCAATTTTTCTCCGGAGCAGCAACAGGTAAATTTCCTTTCTTTTCTTGGCCGGTTAGTTTCCATAATGTTTTCCCTTCTGGGGTAAACAGACACTTACTAATTTCCATTTGCAATTTAAATAGATTGCCTCTGATTGCTTGTTTGTGATATTTATTGGCATAATGGTTCCATGCATATAGATGGAATTTGAGAAAGCAAGAGAAGAGTTGCAAGCTGAACTGGGCAAAGGTGTCTCTGTTGATGAGATTCGGAAGAAGATTAGTAAAGGAGAAATCAAGACTAGTGTGTCCAAGCAAGTTCAAAACAAAAGATATTTCAGCACTGAAAGGATTCAGCGCAAAAGGAGAGACATAGCGCAGCTTATCAACAGACATTCTGCTAAATCAGTAGGGGACAGAGCTTCCAAGTCTGTGGAGGAAAAAGCTTCAATAGAATCAAAAGTCTTGAAGGCTGTTGAGCTTTTTGCCAAGGAAAAGGAAGAATATGATGGTGGTGCTGTGCTGAACAAGAAAATCTTTAAGCTTGCTGATAAGGAACTTCTGGTAAGGGATGTGCTAATCAACTGTGTGCCCCTGCTCCATCAATTACAGTTTTTCTCTTGATGAAACTTCTCTCAAATTTAAAACTCCTCAAACATTGTCAAGGTACTTGTAACAAAGTCTGGTGGTAAGATGAAGGTTCGTTTGGCCACTGATTTTGAAGAGCCAGTTACTCTTCACTGGGCTTTATCTGAAAAGGCTGGAGAGTGGTTGGTAAGATTTTTATGCCTTTTAACTTTAGACATTACTCAGGATAATATAGACCTTTGGAATCAATATCAATGTCTTCATCTTCTATAACCTGTAGCCAGTTTCTCTGTTATTTGATCAGATTTAATGCATGCATGCATGCTTTTGCAGGAGCCACCTCCAACTGTGTTGCCTCCTGGTTCAGTTGCTCTCAAGGAGGCTGCTGAAACACAACTTAAAAATGAGTCCTCTGCTAAATTTTCTTACCTGGTGAGCATGTTATTTTTTTTATATCTTCCTGTGTCCCATAGGGCTTTGAAATCTAACCATGCCTTTCAATTCTACAATCTACCTTATAACAGGTGCAATCTTTTGAAATAGAGATTGAAGAAGGTATTTTTGTTGGTTTGCCATTTGTCCTTTTGTCAAATGGAAGATGGATAAAGAATAATGGCTCGGACTTCTATATTGAATTTAGTGGAGGATCTAAGCATGTCCAAAAGGTTGTCCTCAATTTTGTATTCCAACAAGTATTTTTAATACTCTTCTGTGTTTCTTTCATCATTTTAACTAACTGAAATTTTCTTGACAAAGGATGCTGGTGATGGCATAGGAACAGCCAGGGCGTTGTTGGATAAAATTGCAGAAATGGAGAGTGAGGCACAGAAGTCTTTCATGCACCGGTCAGTAAAATGTTCATAATCATTCTTGTAGTTCAGAGTGTTTATGAGAGTTTTGCTCCTCTTGTTGCCGGATATGTGCTAGTTATGTTCAGCATAGCACACAACACCTTTCAAAATGCTCATCTTTTTATCTTTATGTCGCTTGCATGTGTTGTATGCACACTCTAGTTTAGATTAATGTTCTCTGTTTAAATGTTGTCATGAGTCATTGGTTCATTTTCTTTGTTGCTCTCAGTAGCTAGAGATTAGCATCTCTGTTTCTTTAAAATCAGGTGAGGATGCTGATAACTGCTGCTTGGATTCTTTCCAACTGGGAAGCCAATTGAAATTTTAGGAATAAAGTGCCATAGAGAGTGTTTCCATTCTGTGTTATTACCTTTTTGGTGTCAGAGAAACATCCATAGATTTGTGGACATATAACTTTCTAAGCTTGTTTTGTTATATCTGTGGTTAGTGGATGTTTCCTGTGTTTGTGCTTCTATTTAATTTTCCAAACTTTTTTTGTATTTGACGACCCTTTTATTTTATCTCCTTTGTAAAATTTTAGTGCAAACCATTTTGTCTCTCTATAATTTCCAAAATGTTCCAGTTCGGCCCTTATAAAGTCACAAAGTCATCATTTTATTGACAAATTGTTTCAATCCCAAACCAGCTGTCCAATTCGCTAAAGGAAACAAACAGATTTCCATTCCTTCACTTTAAAAAGACCTTGGGTGATTTTGAATTTTTTTCTGCTTTTTTCTATTTCACATAATAATTGGGACTCGCTAAATTGCTTCTTTGACCATAAGGAAAAAAATGTCAAAGGAATCTGCTTACCTTTGGTACCAAATTGGATGGCAGGGGCAGGGTTAGGATTGAAACAATTGGGAACATTAAAGTCTGACATCGCACCTTTTTAATGGATAGGAGCCAAAGAGTAGCATCTTGGAAACTGGGGAAAAAGGTATACCTAAATTTATTGGTGCCAAAAAAGAAAACAAAAAAAGAAAAGAAAAGAAACGGAAATGCTAGAGAGCTTCAATACAGTTGTGGTTTGTCTGAGCTCAAAATTTCCAGTTTTGTGAGTACTTGGTGGATTACAATAAGAGACCCAATTGTAAGAGCAATATTACATGTCTAGTGCTTAAGTGGAAGTGAAAATAATCAGAATCTATTTGCCTGTCATAAAACCATTCAAAGTGAATAAAAGAGTGATGAATATCTCAAGAGATGCAAGTTACATATTTTTGTTCAGAAATACTGAATACATACAGCTGAACACTTACATATCTTAGAGAACATTTTGTGATGGAAATCCTGCTCAAGTACAGGAGGTGAATTAGGAAATTACCTCGGCTTTTTTTTTGGTTCAATGATGGCTCGAGGCGGTGTAAAAGGTGCTGTAACACATGCTTAAAAGTGCTTTTATTTTAAATAATGCTAAATAGCCCCCAACGTTTCATTTGATAGCTTCTAGCTTTGCATAAGGCTTTGAAAACAGCTTTGGATGCTCCACCCGACACATCAAGAAAAGATTGCAGAGAAAGGATCATGGATGCTTAGAATTTAAAGTTATGAAATAACAGAAATGTTTATTATAATTATCATCGCAGCTGATCATGTCAAGACGCCACATGCACTACTAGCATGTTTCTTTTACATCTTAAGAACTTTTTTTTCCTAAAAAATAATACTATCAATAACAATAGATTTTCATATAATGTTTATAATTTCTACCATTGTATTTCAATTGTAATCAAAGAAAGCTCTCATTGAAAATTATTTTGTCCCTCCATACTATTATGGAGTGGGATTAACACTTAAAGGAATAGGAATAAAGCTGGGTTATATGCACTTTGATATCTTGGGAATTAAAAAATTTATGATGTTATTTTGTCTTTTACTGTAAAAGGCTTCCATCTCATAAAGCTTGTCACCCTTTTTCAAGTGGTATCCAATATGACTTGTTAGTTGAATTACATTCCACTCCATAAAGTTAAGCAACAGATCACAATGTTCCTTTTTACATTGTCATACTTAGATAATTAACTAGCTTTACTAAATGCTTAATATTTACTTGTAGAATGATTACTTGCAGAAGCAATTTGAAGTGGCTCTAAACTCTTTCTTCTTAGATCTTTGTTTGCATCTTATTAATACTAAAGATCACAGAGGAAAAGAAAGTGACAATGCTGTATTGTTTTGTGTTCAATAATTTGGAGTTCCATGAAACTTAATGTGTCTTCTTTTTCTATTTTTTGCTTTCAAATTTTTTGTCATGGTGCCATGCTAATTAGGTGATAATGAAGAAATGGCCATGAAGCCCTGTTTGTTCCCACTTTCCCTGATTTTCTCCTTGTTTGCACAACAATTGAACATTGGTAGTGGCCTTAAGTATCCATACGAAAGTTTCTCTTATTTAGCTTTTTATTCATGATGTTGTTGAAATTTTGATGTATTCGATTAATTTACTAGGAGATCTTTACTGATTTGATACGTGAGCTCATATCTACCTTTCTAAGATAATTTTGTTTGTTGTTCTGGTAGTAATAAGTTATACTTCTCTTTCACTTTGCTAGATTCAATATTGCAGCAGACTTGATGGATAAAGCCAAGGATGCTGGCGAATTGGGTCTTGCAGGGATCTTGGTGTGGATGCGGTTTATGGCCACTAGGCAGCTCATATGGAATAAAAACTACAACGTCAAACCACGGTAAAAGATTTAATTAAATAAGTGTATGATGGACTATATTATCTAATGAGCTTCAGACCTTTGTGATATGAAAAATTACGTTGTTCATTCCTCCAAAACTTGGTCTGAAAGCAAATGACCCAACCCAGCGCAATATTTTTCATTGCTCCTTTACTGGAATGAACTATTTGTCATTCGTCAGATATGATTGTGACCATGTGCCATAATTCCCAAATACAAAAATAGTTCTTATTAGTTGCATACCTGTGCAGTGAAATCAGTAAAGCCCAGGATAGGCTTACAGACTTGCTCCAGGATATTTATGCAAGCAATCCACAGCATCAGGAGCTCTTGCGAATGATTATGTCTACTGTTGGTCGAGGAGGTGAAGGGGATGTGGGACAACGTATTCGGGATGAAATCCTAGTTATCCAGGTCTATAGTGGATCTTTCTTGTTATTTTTTCTTTGTTTTCTCTATTTATTTCCTTAGCAAGTGAGTTCGTTGTAAGACTGATAAGGTGATTGTTTGTTGATTCTAGAGAAACAATGAATGCAAGGGTGGAATGATGGAGGAATGGCATCAGAAGTTGCATAATAACACTAGTCCTGATGATGTCATAATCTGCCAGGTGGTTGAAATGGGAATTTGAACATACACTTTTAGTTATTTTCATTTTCCCCCCCTTAAAAATTCCTTTTCTTTCAGGCTTTAATTGATCATATTAAAAGCGACTTTGACATCAGTGTGTACTGGAAAACTTTGAATGAAAATGGAATCACAAAAGAGCGACTTTTAAGTTATGATCGCGCCATCCATTCTGAACCAAATTTCAGGAGAGATCAGAGGGATGGACTTTTGCGTGATCTTGGAAACTATATGAGGACTTTGAAGGTTAGTTGTTCAAGTCATTAGTATCAAAGCTTCGTGTTTAGTTAACTTTTAACATAGTGACTGCACTTGATTTGCTATCAATATTATACTTATGCAGTCATTGCTTACCACATATATCTCTGACTTGGCCTTCATACAGATAATGGGTTTCAATCAAGTGCCAAACACGATGTGATTTATGTCCTGATCAATTTAAGAATTTTTCAAACATACATGGGAGAACAAATGGTTTGAATTGCATGGACCTACACATATATAGAAACCATGTATATTGTCTGTGATCACCGGGGAAGTGTTGGTCAGCCAGCCATACTCTATGGTTAGTGTTGGTTAATGAAGAAGCAACATCTTAATATGGTTAGGATGAGATGAGATCTTTAGAACTTTTTGTTGTTTGTGATCGCCTGGTTGGTGTTGGTGGGCCAGCCATACTCTATGTTAGTTATTGTTGGGTGCTGAAGAAGCAACATCCTGGTAAATTAGCATGAGATAACGATGTTAAAATATATCTATAATAACATAAGAAAGGACTGTATAAGAAATGTGTACTTCCTTTGCAAAGATGGAAGGTGGCACCAATTCAAGACAAGTTGAGGGGAGCTCCATGGTTCTAAATGATGCATGTTACTGATTGTAACATCCATTCCACAATGGAAATGGAGTTCACTGTATCTTATTATTTCTATTTTGACTTACTAAATGATAATCATACTCTCTTTGAAACACTAAACACCTGCTACGGAAAAATAGTACCTTGTATAGTTTTTGGTTCTCCTATCTCCATTGGTTTGAGAGTTGGTGCTTGACATATATACACACATACTTGCGCACTAGGTTGTTGGTTGAGATTGGAAGCTGCATTGTAGAGGGAAAAGTTGGTGGCCAGTTCACTTGATTGAGATGAGAAATATGGCCAAGGAAGACAATGTAGTAATCTATCTATGCATGGCCTGTAACAAGGAAAGTAGGTATTGTGTTTGCTGTGAAGATTACTGCATTCATTCATTGATAATGTTTCTTAGTGAAACATTTGAAATTCATGCGTTACACACTTGCTAAGAGTTGCTAGCAATTATGACTATGATGACCATTTCAGAATTATAGTTTTGAAAGAGAGAATTGGGAGAGGTAGACCAAAATGAAACAAGCTGAAGCGATACAAGATGATCATTCCAAAGTATTGTCCTGCTGTTGTTAAAGCAGTGTATAAGAAATTCGAGCAGTGTATAAGAAGTTTAGCTAATAAGAAAACTAAATGGAGGATGTGGATCCATGTAGCCAACCCTAACCAAGTTGACTGGAGCTGATCACATAGGTGTTAGTGATAAGAATTCTACATTGTGTTTATGAGTGCGTTAAATTGTACTATTTGCTTTTGATGCCATGTGAACTTCCTCTGATTTTCACCTTTGGCTTCATTATCTTGATTTCAATCTATTTTTTCTATTTTGAATATAGGCAGTTCATTCAGGTGCAGATCTTGAGTCTGCTATTACGAATTGTATGGGCTACAGATCTGAGGTAATGCCGCTTGCTGAAGTTTCTCTACAACGTTTTCTTTTCTTAGAGTTTGATAATACGTTTCTCCTCTCTCCTCTCTCCTCAGGGTCAAGGCTTCATGGTTGGAGTGCAGATAAATCCCATTCCAGGCTTGCCATCTGGTTTCCCAGTAATGTTTTGAACTTCATTTTGAATGTTCATTCTAGATGCCATCTATACAATACAGAATGATAAAACCATCTGTGTATGTTCTGTATCTTTTGAAACAGGAATTGCTTCAATTTGTACTCAAACACGTTGAAGATAAGAATGTAGAAGCACTTATAGAGGTAATTGAAAATTAAATGTCAGAAGTTGTAATTATGATTTGCACTGATACTTTAACCTTGGCCTATTGGCTTCTTTTTAATACAGGGTTTGCTAGAGGCTCGTCAAGAGCTTAGACCTTTGCTATTTAAGTCCAACAATCGTCTTAAGGATCTTTTATTTTTGGATATTGCACTTGATTCCACTGTTAGGACAGCTATTGAACGGGGGTATGAAGAATTAAGCAATGCTGGACCGGAGGTAAATCTATCCTGTCAACAATTATCTTTGGATATAGACTGTGTTCAGTTTGTGTTAATCTTAATGGATTCTTATATTAATTCTTCTCTACATATGTGCTGCTTTAGTTTCACTCTCTAATTTTTATATTCTTGATTGCTTCCTTGATAGCAGAAAATTATGTACTTCATCACTTTGGTTCTTGAAAATCTCGCACTTCCTTCAGATGATCATGAAGATCTTATTTACTGCATTAAGGTAAAATTTCACTTTAGTACCCCCAAATATATGTGACGACTTGCATGTAAGTAAATATGTGGTAGCACACAATCATTTAGATAATGGAAACTTTCCATTGTCATTTGAAATTACCTTCACTGTATATGCAGGAATGGAAACATGCACTAAGTATGTCAAATAGCAAAAGTGATCACTGGGCATTATATTCAAAATCAGTCCTTGACAGAACTCGCCTTGCCCTTGCTAGCAAGGCAGAATGGTACCAGCAGGTTTTGCAACCATCAGCGGAGTATCTTGGATCACTGCTTGGAGTGGACCAGTGGGCTGTATGTTTTTAATTGTCTCAAAGTCCAAAACTTTTCCCTCGTACTCTAGATTAATTGCTTACAAACCCTCACTGTCAATTCTTTCAGTTGAACATATTCACTGAAGAAATTATCCGTGCTGGATCAGCAGCCGCATTATCTACACTTCTTAATCGACTTGATCCAGTTCTTAGGCAGACTGCTCATCTTGGAAGGTTAGCATGTTATTCATGCCATGTCTATGCAACTAGCTCCTGTTGGATTACTAGGAATTTAGGGATGTTAGTCTTAATGAGAGCGATCACACATCTCAACAGTAAACATAGGATAAGGAATACCTGCCAGTTACAAACTGTAACTCTGAAATGCAATTGTTGTTGGCCTTGAACAGCTGGCAGGTTATTAGCCCAGTTGAAGCTGTCGGATATGTTGTCGCCGTGGATGAGTTGCTCACTGTGCAGAATAAAACTTACAAGTTCCCAACAATCTTAGTTGCAAAACGAGTAAAAGGAGAAGAAGAAATTCCAGATGGTGCAGTTGCTTTGCTGACTCCTGACATGCCTGATGTACTATCTCATGTTTCTGTGCGAGCAAGAAATAGCAAGGTAAGCAACTGTTACATTGAATTAATGCCCAAATCTTTTCCAAACTGTTACATTGAATGTATGCCCAAATCTTTTCTGGGTGATGTTAAAAGGATAACGTTGTCAATGGCAGGTTTGCTTTGCTACATGCTTTGATCCCAATATTCTGGCCAACCTTCAAGCATATGAAGGGAAATTGTTGCGTCTGAAACCGACATCAGCAGATATAGTTTATAGGTTATCCTATTGTTCCATGCCATACTTACCCATTGTTTCTCACAACCTGCATCGAACATGTTTTACAACTGTCGTACTGAAATTCATATTACTAATGATGAATCACAGTGAACTAAAGGAGGGTGAACTAGCAGATTCAAGTTCAACTAACTTAACAGAAGGCAGTCCTTCACCTATAAAGCTGGTCAGAAAGGAGTTCAGAGGCAGATATGCCATATCTTCTGAGGAGTTTACCAGTGAAATGGTGAGGCTTTAAAATGGGATCCAATCCATGTTTAATGAACCGCCTTCTTCCCTTTTCTCATTCTAGAAATTAATACAATATGCCAACTGTCATTTGAACTGTATTAATGGATTTTTAGAAATGTTTCTGGGATTCTCTTATAGGTTGGTGCCAAATCACGCAACATCTCATATTTGAAAGGAAAAGTGCCGTCTTGGATTGGGATTCCTACATCAGTTGCTTTACCATTTGGAGTTTTTGAGAAGGTTCTATCTGAAGATTCGAATAAAGTAATTGCAATCTCTGAATTTCATTTTGTCTTTTGCTAGCAGTTTTAGTTGTATACATCGAGAACACTAGCTGCTCAATTCAGATAATGATTGCATGATGGGGTGAACACTATTTCTGTTGTGTAATGGATACATGTTCAGCTAATGTAGAAATTCAATTGGAAGGCATAAAATTTATTAACTGAGTTGGAAATGAATTATTTTTTGATAAAATAGTGTTTGAGTAAAACATAGGCCTAACCTGAAAGCAATGAGAGGACATTTGTATGATGTGTATCTATGATCCATCCACCAGTTAACATTTTGTGCTAGGTGTCCAGATTAGTTATTGTGAAACCTCTTGATGATCAGGGGATGTTACTGTATTGTTCTTGAAAGTCTTAAATGTGGAAGAGAACCCCTCTTTGATGTGTTCTTTCTGCTATCCCTCGTTCATACCTATGCGAAAATAGTAAGATATTGCTGAATGTGCAAAATGAACTTTTACTTCAATTAAATATTCTCACTGTCTAAACGAGGAGATAACTGATTTTTTGGCATGCTTTCCTGAGTCATTGTTTAGGAATTTTCTGCCTGATTCTCTGTGTCTGCCCCTCTTTTTTACTGGCAGGAAGTGGCCAATAAGTTGCAACTGTTGAAGAAAAACTTAGGAGAAGAGTTGAGTGCTCTCAGGGAGATTCGCCAAACAGTTTTACAGCTGACAGCACCACCGCAACTGGTATGTGCTTTGTACAAATGATGCCTGACATATATTTCAGGCAATATACATGGATATCTTTACATCTCCTGCTGAGGATATCAATCATAAAAGAATAGATTTCCTCCTTGGTCTTCAATTCTCTAGGAAACAATTTCAGTTGTTAAAGTTATTATGTATTTTAATTGGCTTTTTTTTTAAAAAAAAAAAAAAAAAAAACCCTTCTATGCAAAGAGTTCTCAGTAGCGTTACTCTATTCCCCCTTCCTCTGAACTATCAATCAACCACAGATTAGCCCAACATGCAGGCAATTTCAGATCGATGTATGGGTCTTAAACTCTTTAACTTTGGTTGTAAAACTCTGGCAATGAGGATATCCTTCTCCTAAACCTCTCAATAAAACAGATTTTTGCCTGAACCTTTTTATTATTTTGGTACACACTACGTTTGTTTTTGGTAGTCAATTGTTTTATTAGAAGAAAAAGGTCCATATACATATAAGTGACATAATTAGCAGCGAGTTTTTGGTTGAACATAGTGTATATAAATGTTGTATCTTGTAAACTATACTGTTGTATCAGGAAGGAGTACTTCAATTGAAATGTAATACCTAAGCTAGAGTAAATTTTAGGTCCAAGAGCTGAAGACCAAGATGCAAAGTTCTGGGATGCCATGGCCTGGTGATGAAGGTGAACAACGATGGGACCAAGCATGGATGGCTATAAAGAAGGTAGACTGCTTTCCTTTACTGGAAAAGACCATTTTGATCTTTAAATAATTGTCAATGTAGTCTCTGTTGCTTCTACCTAGAAGAACCCTCACATGGTTATGATGGTTTGTGGTTTGCTCATGCAATTCCATTCCATTAACTCTTTGTGATTAGGTCAGCATGGCATGTTGTGATTTTCTCGAGAACGTACCTTGGAGAGCTAAATCTTTGGTTGTATAACTGGAATAGTTTATCTAGCTTGCTTGTTGTAGATGTTGACAGTTACACTTTTCCTAAATGTTCAATGCTTAGCTGGAGTCCCCCTAAACTTGTCTGTTCAAACATGGCATGCATGTGCTGTTTTTTGATCATTGCGAATGCTTGCTGTAGCTGTGCTTAGAGTGTTTCCTTCCAAATCTTTCCAAGCATATTTTATTATGTTTGGCTATTTTATTTCTTGTTCATGACATTGATCTGTTACATAATTCCTGTCAGGTCTGGGCTTCAAAATGGAATGAGAGAGCATACTTCAGCACGAGAAAAGTAAAGTTAGACCATGATTATCTCTGCATGGCCGTCCTGGTTCAGGAAGTAATAAATGCTGATTATGCATTTGTTATTCATACAACCAATCCATCTTCGGGGGATTCATCCGAGATATATGCTGAGGTATTGTATATTTGGTACACTGTTCGCTTTTTCCTAGTGGAAATTCAGTCACAATATAGCTGGAAGAAGCAGAAGGCATTGATTGATCGCTCCCTCTTGACACAGGTGGTGAAGGGACTTGGAGAAACTCTAGTCGGAGCTTATCCTGGCCGTGCATTGAGTTTTATATGCAAGAAAAATGATTTAAACAGTCCTCAGGTAAGCACCTTTATATTATTAACAAAATACGAAAGGGTGTGGCTAAATCTCTTGGCCACAACCATAAAATAATATTTATTAAAATATTGTTTTGTGAATTTTTTTTTAATTTCATCCTTAATTATAAGATTATTTTGAAAATAATGCTTTGTAATTTTTATTTTTTTATGTTAGGTTATATACCGATTTCATGAATTTAATTTTTTTTATATTGCAGCCTTTCGGTCTCGTAGATTTAGGTTTTTTTTTTTTTTTAATCTTAACCTTTAACATTAGATTAGTTGAAAGTGGGGCTTTGTAATTTTATTTTTGATTTATTTTTTATGAATTTATCTCAATCATGATCTAGATTACACATTTAACCTGTTAACTTATCTTGACTCGAATAATTTTTTATCTTACTTTTTTAAAATGATTTTTGTTTTAATTTCATCTTTTAATATTGAGCTGGTTGAAAACTGAGTTTTAATTTTTTTTTATTTGTTTTTTATGAAGTTATTTCGATCTTAATATCCGAGTCGTGTCGTGAGTTTGATAGGCTGATCTGGGTGGACCATAAGTTATTTTTTAATTGAGTATTTTTTAATTGGGCTTTGTGATTTTTTTTTTAATTTGGTTTTCATAAGGTTATTACAATCTCATAATCTAAATCGAATATTTGATAAGTTAAACCGTGTTGAATTGGTTCATTTTTATGTTTGTTTCTAATTGAATTTTTTTTTTTTAATTTCACCATCCAACAACTAATTTTTTTATTTAATTTTTTTCTCAATTTCATCATTTAAAACCAGGTTATTTGGGAATTGAGCTTTGTAATTTTTCTCAATTTGTTTTTTTGTAGAGTTTTCACGGTATCATGGATTTAATTTCTTTTCTTGATTTTAATATTGGATATATTGAAAATAGAGTTTTATAATTTTTTTATATGTTTTTTATGAAGTTATCGTAGTTTAATAACCCAAGTCACGAGTTTAACAAGTTAGTTCATGTTGATATATATATTATCATTCAATATTTGATTAGTTGAAAGCTAGACTTTGTATTTTTCGATTTGTTTTCTATAGGATTACTTGGATTTCATGGCTTAAGTTTTGGATTTGAAAGGTTAACTCGAGTGATTTTTGTTGTTTCTTTTAAATTTTTTTTTAATGTTATTTTTTAATGAATTGATTGAGAATTAATCTTTATAATTTATTTTGATTTGTTTTTTATAACGTTATCATGATTTTATGACTCAAATTATAGATTTGATATGTTATATGTTAAACCAAGTCAATTCAATATATCATTATTTTAATATTTGAAAATAAATAACATTCAATATTGCATCAAATATTTTAAAAGGATGTTAAATATTAATTATATTTTGAGTTTATAATTATTATTTTTTATATTAGAGAATTTTTAACAATGTTTAAATTTTTTTTATATTAAATAAAATAATTTATCGAACCTGTAACCTATCATATACCAATGATATAGTAACTTCTATCGGTTGTTTGAACTTTACAGTGGACATGGAGGAGTCTTAAGTTCAAGTAAACTCATGGCTTTTATTGTTGCTTCGAGGACTGAATCTATATGATGTATAATTACTTAGTTTCGAAGTAGTGGAAAAAAACTGAAAATAAAAGAAGCTGTGAGCCAACCCATGAGAGCACCCCAATTTTTTTGTAATGTTACAATTTTCCCTTGAACTTTGACATGCCGCAGGTGTTGGGTTACCCGAGCAAACCCATTGGGCTCTTTATAAGACGATAAGACGTTCTATCATCCTCCGATCCGACTCGAATGGTGAAGATCTAGAAGGTTATGCCGGTGCAGGCCTTTATGATAGGTAAAAATCATTCGAGAAACTGATGGGGAGGATATACAGTGTGCATTCAAGATGCCTAGTTGAAAACTAAATCATACTGAAAGAATTGGTGTTATTATCATATTATTATTTGCTCATTTAGTATCTATCTGTTGTGCAGTGTGCCAATGGATGAAGAAGAGAAGGTTGTGCTCGATTATTCATCTGATCCGTTGATCACCGACGAAAAGTTTCGACGATCAATCCTCTCTGGCATTGCTCGTGCAGGAAGTGCAATTGAAGAGCTGTATGGATCTCCTCAAGACATTGAAGGTGTGATACGTGATGGTAATGTCTACGTAGTTCAAACAAGACCCCAGATGTAATCTTCTTTCTCTCTTTTCCGAATCGGATTTTGCTTGTGAGGGTTGTATAAATTAGAAAAATAACAGAGAGGGAAATGAAGAAAGGGAAAACATACATAAACAATCGGGAAATGAAAAGAACAATAAATCCAAATTGCAGCATTGATTATAGTCATGCATCAGTTTACAATCACGAATAATGTCGTATTTGGTACTTGGGTGTTTTGTTTTCCAGTGGAAACCATCTTAATCTGGCTTGATTTTTTTTTTAGAAAAAAAAGAAAAATCAAATTGAAGTTGACATGGCTGATAATAATAGGATTAACTTGTAATTTGATTAACCCGATTAAAACACGGTTTGCTGCTAATTTATGATGCATTGTTTATGATGCCTGAAATCCCGATATCTAATCACATTAGCATTTTATTATCGATAACAAGTGGTATGTCCAGATGATGTTCTTGACAGAATAATTACTGATCATCCCAAGATCATGTAATCACATTACCGAATCAGCAGTTTTCTAGATGCTGCTAATTTCTACGCATGGCAAATCAATATTTCCCTTGTTCAAGGCCATGAGATGAGCATCCCTCTGCACCAAAGCCAGAAACCGCCATCCATACCTCATTGAAGCGCCCAGAGAGATGTTTGGAAGCATTATACTGGGCAATCGTGTAGGAACTTTTACTTTCCAAAGTTCCATTCCAGTGCTCATTTAGACTGGTCTCGAGAGCCTCTGCTTCTTCACTAATGTTATCATCCCTTGCAAACCCAGAAAACTTTCTAATTGCAATGCATTTTGCTCTCCATTTCTCCAACTGCAAATCAAGCTCAGAATCCGGTTGTGGAGGGGTCCCTTTGTAATAAGCTGGCAGGGACATCTTCACGAAGAACGAAGATCCATGTGGTGCCTCTGTGATGGTTGTTAGAACAGGAGCAGTTATGGCAAGCCGAGTAGAGTTGAGGTTCGCCCCATGAATGTACTGATAAAGCCTGAGAATCATAAAGAAACTAAGAAAGAGCGTACATGCATGAAGTCTGATTTATTATAATGTAATCGGAAAGGAAACCTGTGAAATCCAGCCTTGGTAGATTTCTGAAAAGAAGTTGCTTGGACAACAGGAGCAGACATCCATGAGATATCTTTGTACAGTCTGATCTCAAAGTCTGATTGCTGGAGTATCAGTGTATACTCCGGGGATTCAACTGCTTGACCAGAGAAAACAAGGTTGATAATAAAACTGAGGTGAAATGCTGTTAAGGCATAGTAGTATGGGGAAGGACTCTCCATTCCGTCTTCGACAAATTTCATCAACTTTGCACTAGCTTTTATGGACAAACCATGTCTCTTCCAACGTACGTTATAAAATTCAGCTCGGCTCATGGTTTGAGTTATAAATTCAGGCTATCACAATATTTTATTTCAAAAAAGATAAAATAGAAAGTTAAATCATCTCGCACTAGTATTTTAATTATTTTAATTAGATTAAATCTCTTTCGATTCCATAAAAAACCTAATCTAAATCAAGTTTTAGATTACTAAATTATCAAATTAATTTAAATAAGGTTGAGATGTTAGTATTCTCAATCAATATTCAACATGACATCAATTATATTTGTTTGTATTAGAAAAAAAGAAGATATATATAATTTTTGGAAAATGCAACAAGAACGGTAGAGGCAGTCATCACATTTATTTATTTATTTTTAAAAAAAAAAAAAA